GTGATTAAATAGCTTTTTTCCAAGAAACTTGTATGCACTCTTTTCCTCCTTAACCCTACAATAATGAAGGGAGATTTAAGCCCCTATTCCACTGGGTCCTGGAATACCAAATGGAACACATTGAAGTCACTAGCTGTGTGAACCTAGCAAGTTACTTAACCTCTCTGAGCCTCATTTTTCTGTTCTTGAAATGGTGGTAGTCCTCCTGTCCTCAGAGGGATGAAACAGAGATTGAATGAGCTCAATTATGTAAAATGCCAAATAAAATTCCCGACACACAGAAGATATGAAATAAATGTGAAATGACATCATCATCATCAGTACTACTAAGTGGTCCTCACTGCCAGAGGATGAGTCTCCCCACTTTCCCAGGCACACACACATATCCAGCTCTTTTGTATGTTGCTTGTAGGCCTGGTTACAAGCAGCATGCAAAGGTGGAAACTGTGGGCTTCAGAGTTAAGGAGGCTTTACCTTGAGCAAGTCTGTAACATCAGTTTCTTCAAGTATCAAGTGAGGACAATTATGCCTTCCTCACCAGATCAAGGGCAAATAGCACCAGTAACGCCTAAGAAGCGCATAAGTAATGCATCTTGGGCATTTGCACTTTACTCCAAGAGGATCTATCTCATCACTGGCCTCAACGTGCCTTTCCTCTTTCACCTGCACATCTTTGTTCCACCTGCTTGTCCCTGCCTGCCCCGCCCATCTCCATCTCTGGACGTGCAGCTTTCTAGTCTCAGTCCCATCTGAGAAGCTTTTTTAGGTCACAATGGCTTTTCCAACCTCTGAACTCATAAAGTGTCTTATGTGAGGAAGCAGGAGGTAGAAACCCAGGGGATTCCAAGATCCTTCCTCTGTGGCCATGGTTAGGTCTACCAGAAACTAAGAAGTCAGGCGATGATGTGCAGAAAGAACTCCAGTCACACGTGGCCAAAGAGCAGCTTCCCCACTGACTCCCCACAAGTTCACTGGACTATGATCTGTGTTGTCAAGGAGGGGTCCCTTGCCCTTCCAAAAGTCAAGCCATGGTGCCTGATTCATGAGCATCTCAGAACAGAAAGTAGCCAATTATTTCACTGATAGATGAAGGCACAGTGGTTTCTTGCATGTGGACAGGCCCATGAGCAACTAGGCAATCAGCAGCTCCTGCTTCCATCTCCCAGGGGGCCTGACTCCAGCTGTTCCCGCATCTAATCAGCACAGTCAGACTGAGCCTCTCGATTAAGACTGGACAGTCTGAGCAGCAATGCTGCTAAGAGAATACAGCCCTCTCCCTTACCGATCTGACCCTGACTCCCTTTCTAGGCTCTTCTCTCCTGGCAATCATTTCATGCCCCTCGCTTTTCCCCAAGCCCACCGTTGTCTTCCCTGGCCCCTGGCCTCCCCCATCTAAAATATCCTTCCAAGCTCCCTTACCTCATGAATCCCACTTGTGCTTTAACACCTCGCTCAGATGCTGCTGCCCTCTATGAAGAGCCCCACTAGCCCCTCGCAGGCAGAGTCCGTTCCCAGTTCCATCAGCCTTCCACTGCAGAGCTCCACACAGAACTGCCGGGGCACCCTCTTCACTCCCCCACGAGACCATAAGCACTATGAGGTCAAGGATGATTTTGTAGTCCCTGTACCTACCCAGCATGGTGCCTGATCACCAATGTATTTTATTTAATAAGTTGATGAAAGAAAACAAATGAATGAATGAATTGGGATGCTTTAACAGAAGACACCATCCTTTCCAGCTGTCCATGTTGGGGAAGTTACTCTTCGTTGATAAGGACCCACACACATCAGCAGAGACATGTTTGCAAAGGGTGGGCACTTGTGGGGGTGGGAGAGGGAAGTACTGTGTCCAAAACAACTCCCCTAAAAAACATTACATCAGGGCAAGGGGGGGCTTCATTTCTGCATTTCTTCTTTTCACCCTCCTATCCTCTTGCACAGGCCTGACTTGGTGATTTTTTTTTTATTTTTTAAGAAACATATCATAGTTAGTTTCTAAATAGCTAAGTAACCATAATGCCAGGCATAGAATGTGCCGCATCCAACAGCTGCAGCTGCTCTTTGAAGCGCCATCCCCTGGACTTTTCTCTCCAGTAATTACTGAGCAACCCACCTTCACCTCTAGGCCTGGCATCTGTGGCAAGGATTCCTGCCTGCCTATTTTCTGGCCAATTTAGTTTCTTTACATCATATGACTTTCAGTGACTCAAATGCAATACGGGCATCGCCCTAGTAGGACTTTCCTTAGATGGTTCACGGAGGTGTGCTAAGCATAAGCAATACATACATTTTCAAATCCAAGCAGAATTTCATAGCATTGGTCCCAGGAAAGTCTACAACACTGTTTTATAAGGCGAACTGAAGAACTTGTTGATCTTTGCCATTTTCTATAGAAAAATGCCTGGCCCAGTATAACCTCTCCTATGCATCTTACAGTGGAACATGGATGGGACAGAGGAAGACACTGAAAACCTGCCCTAGCTACATTTAGCTCATATTTATTAACTGCTTAATACAGGCCAGGAGCTGGGCCAAGGCCTTCACGTGCGTTGTTTAATCTTCCCCCAACCCCTGGGAGGTTTTTGTTCTGGTTCTGCAGATGAGGAGCTTAACACACAGAGAGGGTGACAACTTGCCCAAGTGAAGGGTTAAAGAAATATTAAGAATCTCCCTGTTTATGCCCAAGCCGTGACCTTTTACTGTAAGAATGAAATATAAGTGTGCTGTCTCCCAGGGAGAACTAGCCCTTCTCCACGGAAGACTAGGCACCATTACTTTTTAACTCAGTACCTGTAAACACTGATCATTCCCTTGGGGAAGAACTGGCTATTCTCCTGGAGGGAACAGTTGGTTAATCAAGTCACCATAGGCCCTTGGAGCACAGCCACTTTTGTCTAAAACATATTTAACCAGACCCCCCAAAGTGAGACTGTGGAATCTCGCCCAAGGGAAGGATGCTTTGCTCAGAAATGTTCCCAGACGAACCCTGAACGCTGCTGCCTCCAGGATTCCCTAGTATCTGTGTCCAGGTGTTGGCGACTTCCTGTCTGGTGATGTATCCTCTAGATTCCTGCTTTTCTCTCTGCTCTTGCTTAATAAAGTGCTTAACTATTCACCTTTGTATTGTCAGTACTGTCTGCAGATCTGAACCTTCAAATTAAATGGCCATCATCTCATCCATGCCCCTTAACAGCACACTGAGGTAACATGGCCCGTGGGTGCTGGAATAAGCTTTTAAAGTCAAGTCTGCTGGCTCCAGAGCCGGAAGATGTGACCATCACCCTGAGCTCATTCCCTAACTTCTTGTTCAAAGAGCGTTTTCCTAACATGTGTAACTCCTAGACAGCGCTCCTAATATCTTACTCCTTTTGGCATTTTATACTATATTTTTTAAGATCTTCTGTTTAACTGTTGGTGGGATTGCAGACTGGTACAACCATTATGGAAAACAATATGGAATTTTCTCAGAAAAATAAAAATCGACCTGCCTTTTGACCCAGCAATTCCACTGCTGGGATTATATCCTAAGAATCCTAAAACATCAATTTCAAAGAACCTATGCACCACAATGTTCATAGCAGCACAATTTACAATAGCCAAGAGTTGGAAGCAACCTAGGTGCCCATCAGTAAATGAATGGATCAAAAAATTGTGGTGCATATACACAATGGAATTCTATGTAGCAGAGAGAAAGAAAGAGCTACTACCCTTGGCAACAACATGGATGGAACTGGAAAGTATTATGCCGAGTAAAATAGGCCAGCTGTTGAAAGACAAATACCATATAATCTCACCTTTAACAGGAAGCTAAACAACAAAACAAACAAGCAAGCAGAATAAAAACAAAGACACTGAAATAGAGAACAAGGGGTCAGTGACCAGAGGGGAGAGGGAAGGGAATTTAAGGGGGAAAAAGGGGAGGGATTTGGAGGAACAAATATGAAGGACACAGGGACGAGAACTAAGGGGGGTGGAAATGGGAGGGAGGGGGGTCATGGGGGGGGCTGGGATGGAAGAAATAGACAAAAAACTGTATTGAAAAATAACTAAATAAAATTATTTTTAAAAAAGATCTTCTGTTTAAAAAACTATAATAATTATTCAAAAATATGGTTCAAGTATTTATCATGTACAGAAGTGCAGACCTTTTCTAAAACTTTTTAAATAATAAAATGCCCCATGGGGAAACGATTACTTGTGTCCTCTTGACCCACATGGTTAGACTTTTATATAAAACGTCTGCAGAGGGAACAAAGCGACCAATTCCCTTTGTTACTGGAAACACACGGCTGCACTTGGTGTGTCGCAGCCCAGAACCAGAGAGATGCTTCTCACAGGGGAGCCCACCTGGCCCTCTAATGACAGGGCTGCTGGGCCGCACGGACAAACAGGGAGGAAGACGACCTGGCTCTGGCTCTGCAAAGGCTTGCAGCCCAGGGGCGCGCCCTTTGGAGGGTCCACAGCCAACAGGCCGACCAGAACATTAGTCCACCAAAGCCCCTAAGACAAGAAGTTCAGGGAAGAAAGAAATCATGACCAACTTGGAAAATATCAACTTGCTTTGTTGGAAAAGGCTCTCGAAGGTCAGTTTCTCATCTCCAGCTTCTTTCATTGGTGCTTATTGACTGGTATTGAGAGAGCCAAGCTGAGAGTGAAGCCCGGGGGGAGGAAGCCACAAGCTATCTGCAAGGGGAAGAGATAAAGAAACATGGGGCCTGCCTCTGAGCAACAGCCTGACTGAAAATGGACTAATTTTCATTCCCAATGGACACTAAAACAGGCAACATATGAATATGCTAAAACAAACTGAAGGTCAAGGAATACAAAGCATTAGGCAATGAGCTTCCTTTCCACCCACAGAGGCAGCCTCTCTTACCTGGTTCTTGAGTTGCTTCAAAAGGGAGTTCCGCATTTATAATGGACAAGGCTTATAATGCCTTCATCTTCTGGGCCCCTCAGGACTAAATCAGATGGCCCATCCTCAAGGCCTGGCCACAAGGATGGGTCGGAAAAGTGAGGAATGCAGAGTCACATGGGGGAGAACTGCTCCGGGCCTGGTGAACAAATGGCCACGCCCTGTTGGCCACCTGCTGTGAGCTGGAACTGCTGGGCTTTGCACAGAGGAGGGGGAGCCAGGGCTTTATAAAGCACTACCTACCTTTTGGAGAGGAGCAAAGTATGTGGTAAGCATAGGAGGCAGAGGAGCGTTTCTGGAAAATTCCAAGAAGGCTTAAATACTCACGAGTCAGGTTGGGCCAGCCTCTGGTTAGGACTTCCTTGCTGGGGAGCAGGGGAAAGTGCTTCCCAGGGACCTAGGGCAGTGCGTCCGTGAAGAGAGAAGCATTTAAACGTCCGCCTTTCTAAAACTACTCTCCCTGTATCTCAGGAACTTTCAGCTGGTGTATACACCCTGCAGGACAGCAAATCCAGTCACTTGTCTCCCTATTCTGTGATATATTTACAAAGTAACAAATGTTCCATTAAACCAAGTTTGGGCCTCTGTCCATCCACGGCCACCACCCCCCACCCCGCCCCCTCAGCAGGAGGTTGGTAAAGTGGGCTACAGCCTTCCAGCCTCAACTCCCCTCCCTCCACCACCTCTACTCTCCTCCCTCTTCCGCTCCTCCCTCGCCCCTCCCCCGGTTATTTGGGAGATTAGAGTTCATTAATTAAATCCTGTGCTTAGATCGAACCGTAACATTATTCCAATCACATTTATCTTGCAGGCGGCGGAGGAGATGGCAGCCTCGCTGGAAACGCGCGGGGGAGCCTGAGCCTGCGGCCAGAGACGCACGGCGCTGCATGCTCCAGCTTGGCCCGCAGCACAGACCCTCCATCTTCCTGCTCGGCCTCCCGCCCCACTTGCCCCAGCCTTAGAGGTCCCACTTCTCTCCGGCTCCCCAGTCCACCCCCACACCTCCCACTTGCCTCCGTGGCTCTCCGTGGCTCCCCGGCCCGGTCCCCTCCCCCGCCACACACGCTGACGCGCGCGAGCGAACACACACACACACACACTGACACGCCAGCGAGCTGCTGGCTGCTCAATGGACCGATTTCCCTGCTGTCCCTGATACCAGCCCAGCCCAGGATGAGAAACTGCAAAATGGCCCGGGTCGCCAGTGTGCTGGGGCTGGTCATGCTCAGCGTTGCCCTGCTGATTTTATCGCTCATCAGCTACGTGTCCCTGAAAAAGGAGAACATCTTCACCACTTCCAAGTACGCCAGCCCGGGGGCGCCCCGAATGTACATGTTCCACGCGGGATTCCGGTGAGTGAGGGCCTCTGAGTGCCCTCGGGCATCTGGGTTTTTTTTGGGGGGGTGGGGGGTGCAACGAAAGGGTATGTTTTGGGTTCTCTGAGACACTTTGGGCAAGATAAACTGTACGGCCTTTCCACTCCTCTCTCCAATTCTCCCTCCCTCCTCCCTTTTCTTTATTTTTTTTAATCCAAAACTCCATTGTACTAATGAATGTGATTGCATTTGTCATATACCTCAGCATCCCCTCCCCCATTTCCAAAATGGGGGGTAGGATTTAAGGAGAATGGTGGTGGAAGAAGAGGCAACGTATGTGTTTGGGAGGGGGAGGTGAACCGAGAGATGGAGGTGCGTGGTGAGGTGAGCGCCTTCCCTGGGCCCTGTCTGGGGACTTCACTCTGAGGCTGGACTCTGCCTGGTCTGAGGCGACTTAATGGCGCAGGCGCTGCACCCCCCTTGCAATCTCCTCCACTCACCCCCATACCACCAACTGTGGTGCGAGTCTAGTCTTACCAAGCCCCATGATCCTTTCACCCCGGTGCCATTCTTCCTCCCCCTCCCTTTTCCAGTTTTTTTGTAATTCCCCCGCCCTCCTAAGGGCTGCCTACCCTCACCCCAGGTCTGAGTAACTGCCAGGAGCAAGGCTGGACTAGGCAGGGGGCAGGCGCCAGGTGTGGCTTGGCGCACTCACAGGGAACCCACCCCCCCCACCTTTGACCTCCAGGAGCTCTCCTAGCAAGGCCACCTGATGGGCGGGTGGCAAATGCAAGCTGCAATCTGTGGTCCAAGTCGGGCCAGAGGTGCAAAACCTAGAAGCCGCCCCACCTGGGAAGAAGAGCAGAGCCGGGCAGTGGCTTCTTTGGGGATCCCCAGTCGGAAAACCGAGAATGAAAGCAGACCTAAGCTCGGGAAGGAAGAGGTTAAGGCAGGACCCACCCACCCAGCCTTCCCCCAGATCTCCGGTTTCCTCTGCCCTTTCTCAGAAAACCGATGCACCCGGACTGCCGACGACAGCCCGAACGCCGACTGCTGCCGAGGCGGGGCGGGCGCTGTCCGCGGTGCTGACTCCACGGTCCTCACTGCGCAGCAGGCTCCGGCAGCGCCCGCTCCCGCCCCTGTGCTCCGCGGACGGCCATTTTATGGTCTCGCCCGCACCCGGAGGGATGGACAATGGAGACCGATTTCCCTGGATTTTCCCTTACTACCCGGTGGGGGGAGGGTGGAGAGCAGAGGGTGAAACCAGCGATCGGGGCCTCTGGGCGGGGGGCGCCCGTGCGAGTGCCAGCTGCCCCGCCCCGCCGCTGCCCCAGCTGAGGCCGGCATGTCTGTCTGTACTCGTGCTCCTCTCCAGGTCGCAATTCGCGCTGAAGTTTCTAAACCCGTCATTTGTGCCCATTACGAATTCTCTGACCCACGAACTCCAAGAGAAACCTTCTAAGTGGACATTTAATCGGACGGCATTTTTACGTCAAAGGTAGGATAGGGGGAAAAAGATCCAAAGTGTTTGAATTCTAGAGCTCAAAAAAGAAAACAAAGTAAGCAAAACAGCAAAGTTCTGTCTCCCACCCTGAGATGTACTTGTACTGTCTCCTTGGCCTGACTGTACAAAGGCTGACTGGTAACCCTTTATGTGTGCAGTGCCCTCTCAAAAAATAAAAATAGGAAAGAAAACATCAGGAAGACCAATTTGAATGAAGAAAAAAATATTTCCAATATCCTCCCTCATTTGGGCTTAGTTGAACACCATGATTCATAGTTAACATGCATGGCTAACACTGTCCAAGCCATCTATTAAAAAAAAAAGTTAATTGTTAAAAGGCATTTCATTTCCCCACTGAAAAAAAAAGTAAGTAAAAGAGTACTATCTAAATGAAACACATAGAAAACACTATAATCCATCCCTATGAAATCACTAGTGAGAACCTTGGTCTGAATGAATGCAGGTATTTAAGTACGGTTTTGCTTTGGTTTTGCCTGTTTGTTTCCGTTACGCTACAACAGCGTTTAATGTGCTATAAAAGTGACCCAGCCTCATTCTTGGTGTCTTGAAGCAGCACCCTTTACACCCAAGGGAGTTGATTGGGGGTGGGGGAAGTAGCAGTTGAGGTTTTGGTTTGGGGGTTTAGGGGGGTTTTTGAGGTGGAAAAGAAGGATGAGACTTAATTTAAATCTGTTTATTCTTCTCAGTGATTCTGGTATACATTTAGCAACCCCAGATAAGTCATTTCTACTTCCTTCTTGGTGGTGTTACTATGCTGCTAAATGGAATGTAGGCAATCTAGTGTATTCATTAAGGGTGTGCATACTTATTTTAAATACTTATTTTACCAGTCTATTTAGGGGCTTGAGTTTTGGTCATAGCATTTCCAGTTATTGCCCTCTCTTTTTTTTATTTTAACTTAATGACAGAATTAAAACAAATTTAGTAGATATCCACAGCGTCATGAAAGTGTTATTTACTTTAAAAGTTGACATACTTTTTTGACATAATCATGTAATTATGATTAAAACTTTTTAAATACTCTTTAATAAGAAATTAGTCTATGACAATAATTGATTAATTCTAAAACCCCAACAGTACTTTTCTAAACTTTGGGTGATTTAATCCAATATTATTTTATAGAAAACCTGGAAAACTTTAATGGATAGAACACATTACATCTTCTCCCAGACCATATTCCTAATTCAATAAAAATATTCTCCCATACTAGGCAATATGACCCAAATGACCAGCCAGAACAGTATTTTTCCTCAAAATTTCTCTCATTTAAATGCATGTATTAGGTAATCTTTAATTAATTTTCCCTGCAACATTTTAAACCTACTTTACCTTTGTAACAGCTTGTCAAGAAAAGTACTGGTAGCTTTGGGAGTTTTGTATTAAAACTGAAATTTCAGTTTATGCTGCTCCATACTCTGACAAATGAAGTAGTTTTCAAAAATAAAAGTCTAGGTAAAGTGATGATATACAGAACATTTAATTTCAGTCCTATTTTTTTTTGCAAAAGACATCAAATTCAATGTGATTTCTTTGAATTGGAGAATCTATCAATAAAGTAACATGTTACTGGTCTAAAATATTTTAAATAGCTTAGACTTTAAGAGATACTTAATTTTACTTAACGCTCAATATGAAAGCAACCTAAAATTAGTGCTAAGTATCACCCTTGCCTTGTTTATGCTCTGAATTCTTAGAATAAACACACTTTTTTTGGATTTACAATAGCCTCTTTTTCTAAGGATTGGGTATCTCCAACTAAACTGTATTTCTATATAATCAAGCAGAAATATATCCCTGTTTCATTATTCAAAGGACCTTAATGAGATTATCATCTCCTTTCTATTAAATATTCAACTGCTATTACCACGTTCATACTTTAATAATAGATAGTGCTGCACCGACTCATATCTACGTGGCTCTTACTTAGACACCAGTGATATGTGATAGTCCTTGAACACTGCAGTCCAATAGCAAACAAGTAGTCCCTAGTTACAAACTCTAAGTCACCAATGTTTGCACATTAAGGTGAGCTCTCAGGGCCTGTGTAAATCGTCTCCCTGTATTTTCTAACATAGTTTGGCCTGTGCTTTCCCCTTAATCAGATGCACTCTTCACGTAGAACAGAAAACCAAAGAATGGCAGCTAAAACTGTAAGTTACAACACTTACAAGCCTCAAAGGATTACATCCACAACTTGAATAAGAGGTTAACATGTGTGTGTAGATTCTGAAACAGCCTCCCCTCACAGACCATAATTATGAATATATCATCTTTCTTGGATTCAACATGCCAGTGATTCTTGTCTGAATGGAATGGCAGCATAAGACGTAAGATGGAAAATCAATTTTGAATGGGATACATTTAATGAATTTCTTTTTATTTTAGGCAAGAAATTCTTCAGCATGTCGATGTAATAAAAAATTTTTCTTTGACCAAGAATAGTGTTCGGATCGGACAACTGATGCACTATGATTATTCCAACCATAAATATGTTTTCTCGATTAGCAATAACTTCCGATCGCTGCTTCCAGATGTGTCACCCATTGTGAATAAACATTATAATATCTGTGCTGTGGTTGGAAATAGTGGGATCCTGACAGGGAGCCGGTGTGGACAAGAAATAGATAAGTCAGATTTTGTTTTCCGTTGCAATTTCGCCCCTACGGAGGCTTTCCAAAGAGATGTTGGAAGAAAAATCAACCTTACCACCTTCAACCCCAGCATCCTGGAAAAATATTACAACAACCTTTTGACCATTCAGGACCGTAACAACTTTTTCCTCAGTTTAAAAAAGCTTGATGGGGCCATTCTTTGGATCCCTGCATTTTTCTTCCACACTTCAGCAACTGTCACCAGGACATTAGTTGACTTTTTTGTTGAACACAGAGGTCAGTTAAAGGTCCAATTGGCTTGGCCTGGGAATATAATGCAACATGTCAACAGGTGTGTATATTTTATTGCCTTTAACTCATACCCCACCAGATGGCAAATCAACATTGTAATCTCTTGGGGGTGGGAGCTATCTGATTAGTTAGTTATGGTGGTTAGTTTAGTAGTTTAAGGAAAACTCCTTTGTTTTGTAATAAATGAATGAGTCATTCTAGGTAAAAAGTTCAATCTTCTACCCCTAGTTAGTCACCAAGTGCCAAATGTGGGGACTGGTGGTTCATCAGCCTTTACTCTCCAATCCCTGTCCTCTAGCTTGGTGCTAAGTCCAACAAGCAGTCATGGAAATCACCACAGATCAAGAACTTTCTTTAAATGGATAGCTATGTCCCAACAATGCCAATTGCTAAATTAGCAAATCAAGCATTTTTTAAAGATGCAATTGACTTAAAATATTCCTTATTTGATATTTGGGTGTTTTATAGATGTTCAAAATTAGACAAACACCTAGATAACTCATAAATTGCATAATGTGCCTTTTTTAATTTGGGATTTGTGTGCCAAAACATGTGAAAAGGTTTTTATGAGCTCACTGCTGTCCCTTGTAATTTGATAGACAGGTTGACCAGAAATGCGGTATTTTTGTCTCGTTCGATGATTCTTAACTCTGGCTGTCCAGTAGAATCACTTGGATAACTTTTAAAAACACTGTTGCCTGGGCTCTCCTTCAAGAAATTTTCATACACTTTGTCTGGTGGGGGAGAAGGGTTAGCAGCAGGCATCTGCGATGTCTTATAACTCCACAGATGATTCTATTACGCAGTCAGAATTGGGAACCACTAATCCAGGGGCATTTTATAAAGCGTCATATACTGAAGAGTTGTTTTCTTTAAATCATCTGAAGAAATTGCCACAACTCTTGATTCCTCCCTATGCAAGTAGCCCAAATGTCGTAACATACTGTCCAGGCGTTACTGCATGTTAGAGTCGGCTCTGAGACGCCTGATGAAAACAGGGAATTCCAGAGACTTTCATCTCATCCTGTAGTCCTCTAGAGCAAGGTATCAAACTCATTTTCAACGGAGCTGAATCAGCTTCACAGTTGCCTTCAAAGGGCCAAATGTAGTTTTAGGACCATATAAATGTAACTACTCCTTAACAGTTAAGCGAGAGCTTGGTGCTGCCACCGGGTAGAAACAAGGTGCCAGGCCGGATTCAGCCTGCAGGCCTTGCACTTGCCACCTGTGCTCTAGAAGCTTCCAAATTTAAGGTCTGTTTGGTTGACCTCTCAAAGAAGGAGGAGTTGCCATCTAATGTACTGGTATATGTATCTAACAGGTAGGGTGACACCAAAAGTTCAAACAAACTTTTTCTTTGAGAGAAAGAGGACACTATTAATAATTATAAGGAGGGTAACAGTTAAGAACTGGGACTGTCCCAGTTTCCCAGGTTGTACAATTACCTTTTTAAGAGGCAACATAGCCCAGCTCCTAAGTTTAAAGAGGCGTTAACTACGGTACAAAGAGCAGGAGCTATTTGCCCAATGTCACTGCCCAGAAAGGGGCATACCAGAACGAGAAGCCAGCCTCTCCTGTGATCTTCTGACTTCATCATCTTGCTCCCCTAGTGCTCTATTTAAATGCAGCTACACCAAAAGAACTGCCGCTAGTCATTCTTAGTCCATAAGTTAGAATGTTAAAACCAAGACTGAATGTTTGTTTACATTTCAACTGGAATGGGAAAGGATTATCTTTAAAACCTTCAAGTAGTGAGAAGGAACTGCACAGTGCTCAGAAACTTGACAAAACTGGCCTCTGGCCTACCTTGCCCCTGGCCTTTCAGAGGTTCAGAGAGCTGGCCATAGTGTCTCCGACCTCAGACTTGAACCAAACACACTGGTTCGCTGAAAACTTGCAGGAAATACAGTCCACAGAACACTGATTCGTGAACAGTTGAACTCTGCCTGTGCAGCCAATGGTACACACACACACACACACACACACACTCAGGCCACAGCGTTTGAAATACACAGCAGTGTAGGAAGGAAGGCTCCAAAATACGATCTAAACCTGGAAGGAACAACAACCGTAATTTAGCTCTTTTTTGTTTTTTCAATTTAGAAAATGTATACTTTCCTTAGGTCCTGGCATGCTAAAGGACTTGGGAACTCCTAGTCAGAAGAAAAGGGAGCAAGGAATATGATTTTTTTTAATAAGAAGGTATAAAGAAATAAGGTCCACAATCTTTCCAAACCCAAGAAGAAGGATTTACTGTCTAGGTTTGGGTAAGGAAGCAACACAGGAGATCCCTCTAGAATCAACAACCCTCTCCCCACTTCCAAAGTCCCTTGGAGTGTGAGAAGCATCATCATTCTCATGGCCTCTGTGGTGTCACCTCTGGGTCAGAGCCACCACCCTCTAAGGGCAACCCAGAGGCAGGGTTGGCTTCAAACATGTGTGGCCTGTGTTTCACACAGAAGCCTGTTCTTAGAAGGGCACAGCACTTGGTTTAATTATCTGCTACCGCCCTCTTGAAATTCTCAATAATTTTTTAAATGAGGCCCCACATCTTCATTCTGCATGTGGTCTCACTAATCATGTGGCTGGTCCTGCCCAGAGGTGTTTTGTGGTCTAAAAGGTAGATTCAAAGCCAGTAGTAGTGTCAAACTGACATCCCAGCCCAGTCATAATGACCTCTCTGATCAGAGCCTTCCCCACTGACCTCTGAATCGACCTATACTTATTGTTCCACAGGTACTGGAAAAACAAACATTTGTCACCCAAACGGCTGAGCACAGGTATTCTTATGTACACTCTTGCATCAGCAATATGTGAAGAGATCCATTTGTATGGATTTTGGCCTTTTGGATTTGACCCCAACACTAGGGAAGATCTTCCATACCATTACTATGACAAAAAAGGAACCAAATTTACCACCAAGTGGCAGGAGTCCCACCAGCTGCCTGCTGAGTTTCAGCTGCTGTACCGAATGCATGGGGAAGGGCTCACCAAGCTGACTCTGTCACACTGTGCCTAAGAACTTTGAACAGAAAGTGCCAAATGGTGGCTTTAACGTGCCCCAAATCAAAATGAATAGTCGTCAGATTAGAACCCTAAAGAATTTCTTATAAGGAGTGTCTGCCATTTGAAAGGAAAGATGTCTTCTCTCCCTCTTTCGCACTGCTCCTTTAAGGACCTCAGCCGGACAGATGCACTGAAGCCGCCTGACTTAAACTTGACTGATAACGGGCATGTTGCATTTGGAACCATGCTGCTAACAAAATGGCTTGAAATATTTTCATGCTTGTATGTTAATAATACACGGCCTCTCAGTTTTTATGAGGACTAGAGCTGGGGTTTCTGCAGCTTTGCTCAGAGGTGGTCCTCATAATGAGAGGCCTTTGGCGAACTGGGGCAGGACTCCGTTTTTTCCTGTTTGGGATTGGACTCTTCAAAATGGAAACAAAAAGTTGGTTTGCATATCTCATCTCTCCTTCTCTATCCCCTCTTTCCCTCTCTCCCTCTATCTCTATCTCTCTCCTTACAACTCCTCCCCCTTTCCACCACCATGGAGTTTAATAATTTGCTAGGAATCAGTGAATTAGCTTAGCTCGTATGTGTTGCATCTGTATTTGACGTGTTCAACGGTCTGGGTAACTCTGATGTTCCACCACAAACCGAGGAAATCATGATGGATCTCCTTATGAATACTTTTCTAAGAAATGCCTTTTACAAAGTTCTCACGAGTCCAGACAGTCACTCTACAGCAGAGTGGTCCCTCTGGGGTGAGTGGCACACGATGCAGTGCATCTTTCACTGTCACAAAGAAGGCCCACGTCATGGGTCCATAGCACTGGGCAGAGTGCTCCTGTGGCAGACCATTCTGCTGCCACATCTGCAAGGGCGTTCCAGCCTGGGTTTAGTGCCTCCCACAATCCCAACCCAAGCACTGGGCTGGAAGTTCTCTCAGAATATGGAAGCAATGAGTCAGCTTTAGAAGCTGGGACACAGAGAGAAGGAAGAAGAATACTTGGAAGTTACTATGGATGCTGTATATTCTAAAGTGCTGTAACCAGGTTGCCCATTCAGAGCCTTCAAAAACCAGCAGGATTCGAGCAGAGTAGAGGCTTCAAGGTCGGCCAGGCCAGGCCCCCGTGTGAACAGTGCTCAAGTGAGGTGATCTTCACTGTCACTCTGCCAACCAGAACCGCTCCAGAACAATCTGTTCTCTTGAAGACAACTGCAGACATTGGATATTCCCTCTTTCCACTGAAATCAGATCAGTGCACCTACAAATTAAGCATTTCAAAAGGAAATCCCATTGCATAGTGGCAAGTTCTGGAACAAATAACTCTTGGAGTCTGAGATGTGTAGATCTGCCATGGGAAATTAGTGGGCCGTTCTCTTTTTCATTATTCCGGCCTCAGGAGTGGAAACCATGTGACTCCCAGCCCTAGCTTTGCACCGAGCAGCACTTTGTTCTTCCAGTTCGGCCCAAAGTCTGGCCAAGTTGATGTTAAATTTTAATAAGAGTTTCTTTTCTTCTTTCCAAATGCCAGTCAAGCATATTTGTAATACATTGGGGTGGGGTGGCTTGTTCTTTTCCAGAAATTTCATCTAGATTTCTTGCAATGCTACAAATGCTGTTTAAAATAATTGCTGTAGTTCAGTCATCAGCTCACTACCCAGTTATTATATCTTTGGGAAGATATAATAATGCCTAAAATTAAGCCAAACACAATAAGGAAAAAACAGCCCTTATGTTCATGTTCTGCCTGGTTCTGAATAGAAGGTGTCTTAATTTTTTTTAAAGTTACTCAGAGAAACAGACATGGATCCAGATATTCACTAATGAAAGAAAAACTGTATAAGCCAATTGTACACACATCTTACAACACTGACGATGGCAATCATCCAAACAGATAGGAATGGGAATGGATACTTCCAAATGGAAGGCACTAAAACAGCATGATATTTTAAATAACTGGAAGGGGAAATATTTTTAATTTTTTTAATTCAATGGTATAATTTGATACACAGCAAAAGCACAGTGTGCTTGCTCCCTGCCACTTTAAGGAGGATAGTACTGCAGTTCTCGTGCCGTGTTCTCAAGGTCACTGTGAGACTGATGACTGACAGACGTGTAGCAGGCTTTTCCTAAGCACTTCGTTCATATGGGTGCAGCTAAGTAATGTTAATGCCAATATTACACAGGCCATACTTGGACTCTAGAGTTTTTATCCCAATGTGCCCATTAGATTTCACTAAATATAAATATGTAGATATACTTTGGAACCAGGCAGGTTAAAAAAATCAAAGAACTGGAATCCATAAAACCAGGTAACTAGTCTACCATGGGCCATTTAATTTAGATCTCACCACAATGCCAAGGGTTTGCTGGTTTTTTAAAAATCTCATTTCCCCCTTGGTTTCATCTCATTTCGTCTATCACAGGGGTGTCAAACTCATTTTCACTGGGGGCTATATCAGCCTCATGGTTGCCTTCAAAAGACCAAAATAATTTTAGGACTGTATAAATGTAACTACTCCTGAACTGTTAAGGAGCTGAAATTACATTCGGCCCTTTGAAGGCAACTGTGAGGCTGATGTGGCTACCGGTGAACATGAGTTTGACACCCCTGCTCTATCCCTTTCACAAGAACTCCAAATGTTGAGGAAACAGGCCAATCTTCCAGAACCAGAAGGGCCTGGACATCAGATTTACCCTGTTTCCAGGCGGGACTTCCTGGATAACCCAAAATGATCATCCCACCCTTTTCTTTAAAAGTCCCTGAAGAAAATTCTAAGCCCTCCCACAGTGGTTAACCACAATTCTCATACTTTATAAATTCTTTATATACAGCCTCTCTCCCTCTTATTGCAAAAAAATTACATACAATATGTGGCTAAAGCATTTATCCCAGTCTTCAGCATGTAGGAAGTACTCAAAATATAGCAGCTTTTATTGTTACTTTTGTTAGTCATGCCCCTGACCTACACTTCCATCACAGAGAAAAACAGCCTCTAGCTGGTCATACAAAACCTCTCTCAGCTTTTAAAGAATATTTCCAAGATTCATATAACCACTGTCATGACCAAAAGAGCCCGTGGATCCCCTGAGTCTGACACGAAAGGTGGTGGAGCAAGGAACCAGAACTTCTGGGCTGTGTGGTCAGCAGTGAACTGGGAAGACAGGACCTGCAGCTGAGCATCAGGCCTTTTCTCTGCCCTTGCTTTACTGGTTCTAGGTTAAGTTCACTCTTTTGTCAGAACCTGTCATCTTTGTAGATATTCACTGCAGAATCCACCCTCAGCTACCGGAATGAATTTCGCCATAAAGCACCCTGGGCTGCCTACACCAGTACAAACACCAGGTCAGCTGCACGGGGGAAACCACCCACAGACGTGCAGCGACCTGCTCGATGCTAGTCCCTCAGTTTTCATCATTTGATCTGAATGTCATGTGCGGACATGCATTTCCAAAGGAGACAGAGTTAAAATGTGATACAAGAACACCTCCCACATCCAGAAGGTGTGGGAGGTAAACATCAGAATTTCCTATCTGATGACTGAATATCTATGGTTCCTCTGCCTTTGCTTCTGTGTCTTAAATGTCCTTGACCTTTATAAAAGTACTTGTTTAGTACCTGACCTGTTTAGAAGTGTCACATGCCTAGCAGTGCAGGCTGTGACCACTGTGCCATCTGTCTGGGACTTGCATGTCAGTCACCTGATCGTGGGGCTACCAGCCAAAATGTGCAAAGGGAGAAGCTGCCTGAGCCTCCTTGTGCCCAAGCCTCAAGTCGTCCATGAATGTGAATACCAGGACCGACCTGTTTATGGGAAAGCCAAGGAAAGGAAGAGCATTGTTTCTGACTCTGGGCAAAGAACTAATTATTAGACATTCTCACATAGCAAAGAGGTGTTGACCTGAGGCCAAAGGAACCAGGGACAGAACCCTAGGACACTGAACATGGAAAAGCCTTTCACCATCTCTAGTCTTAATTCTTTACTTTAACAAATAAGAAACGGAGAAACAGAGAAGCTAAGTGCTCTTCCCAAGACTGTACAGGGAACCAGTGCAGAAGTTAGGACTCCTCATCTAGTACTCCTTGGTCTTCTCAGCATCAAATGAGGATGAGCTCAGAGGGGAAGTGGTTTGGGTCTGGGGTTCACAAGGCACAGAAAATAAGTTACAAAGGCTGTAAAGGAGAAAAAAGATGCCTCCCAAAGTATTTATTTCTCGATGCAAAATAAGAAAGGACATGCTTGCCTCCGTATATAAGAGCCCACGGATAATAACATACATTCTCCCCTAAAATTAAAGAAAACCCTCTTAGTAAATTATGATTCTGGTAAATCACAATACATTTACTAACAGTTCACAGTTGACAGATGGAATCTTCTCCAATAATCTATTCATCTTAATAAAACCTTGTTTTAGTGATATCTGTGTATAATTTAAAATAAATGGTTATGTACTTTTCCATATGCATAATTTTCAGCTGGAGCCCTTGAGGTTAAGAAATATCTTTTGTCAATGAGATTGAGAAATACCTTTTGTCAATGCCTTCCATATTATAAGCATTATTGCAGTTAGTTCAATGTGCTAAGATGGGCAAATAATAGTGAATAATTCGGGTTGAGTTTTCATGTGTAAAAATGACAGACTGAGCAATTTTATGTATAGTTCTAGATCCCTAAGTCTTTTCCCCCCTAATTGTGTGAAGGTACTAGGCAAAAGTACCTGTTTAGCCTCTACTTCTCCCTGAATGTGCAGAACTGTCCTTTTGATTTCAAAGAGAGTTGGGACTATGAGTGCGTGGCTGGAAAACCCAGATGGAGCATCACAAGTACTGGGGACTTTGAGTCCCTGGGCCACCTGGTTGACTTGTCTCTGATCTGTGGCCCAATTAATCAAGGCCACAAGTGAGTTTACACCAAGGACCAAAATGACTAAATATGCCTCTTTCACACTCTTGTTGCTTTGCCACAGCAAATTTTAGAATGTCATTATTGTATTATGCAGTATTTCTT